TCACATGTAAAAATAATTTACATGAGAATTTCATACATGTGTATATATATATACATGCACGTTTATTCCTGCACAACATCCTTGGAATGGCTCGTATTGGCCTTGTTTCATTCTTAGTTTAATAATCATGAAGTTGCCAACAAAAAATAATAAATTTTAAATATTTATCAACAAAAAAGTACGTTATATTTTCTAAATATGTATTTTAGACGTTAATAAAAATTAAATATTTACTTGTGTAAACAAGGATTTAATAGTATAAAATTCCGTAAATACAATGAAATATTCATATTTTGACACGTCACGTATATCAAGTAGTAATTATCGTTAATTACTGCTGGATAAACAGCTGTATACATTACCGATCGAAATGCGTCTTCAATTTTCTAAACAAAGTTTTAAAAACCGTACACGATAAATTATTTATTTGTTGAGGTCTTTACGTTTTGTAAATCGTTGATAAAAGTTTAAGACGATTTTACAAAAATATAATAAAATGTTTTTTTTTCAGATCTTTAAGAGTTAATAATAAAATACTTTTGTTATATTTTTGTTGTTTTAACCGCTTAAAAAACATTGTTATTATTCACTTCTCGAAAGTAAAAATTTAAAAAATTACTGATATTTTTGGGGTTGTTTTGGTTTGGATTAGTGTTTTGGATCAACTTCAGGAAAGGATAATTTCGGTCGGTAATATGCAAGCACTTGGTTTAAATAAAATCGAGACACGATCAATCAGACCGTCATACATATTTAATTTTTTTGTGATTTTACCTCTTTATTTTCATCAAATTAAAGACATAGAAGCTTAGAACTTCATCCTGTGTGGATATTGACTGCTGCGCAGTCCAAACATTGCTGACAGATAAGTAAACAGCATTTTTTTGTCCGGACGATTCTTCATAACTTTAATGATCATCTTGTCGATTAATTTCTGGTCAGATTTCCTCTGTTCACTCGGTTTGTATTCTTCCTTCTTTTTGCTAAAGATATCGCCTTCTTCTTTCTTTGCTCGCTTGTCGCGTTTTCTCTTGAAGTATTCATCGTTAAGGCGTTTAGGGATCACAACACCAGATAAATCGAGCTTTGTCGAAGTTGCAATCACATAATTCTGACTCACTCTTCGCAAAGGACAAGCATTAATTATGAATGGTCCTAAAAGTGTAATAAATAAATTTAAAATCTCATATAATAAATTATTTTGACGAGTTATTATAAATAAGAATTATTTATAAGAGTTAAAGTTTAATATTGTATGTACCAGTGATCAAAAGTAAACCACTCTTCAGTTGCTTCAAGAAGACAACCCTCTTTCCTTTATGAGGCCCAGCCAAAAGAATGCAGATTGTTCCAGGTGTCAAATTAGGCCTCAAGTACCGGCGATGTTCGTGGAAACATTTCTTAGGATGATGTACGGTGACTCTATCCGCAGTTGGATAGCTTGCACGCCTCTTTTTGAGAAGCACAATACGCTTCTCTCCATTTTTATCACCACCAATTGGCTTTTCAATAGTCACTGGTTTCTTGGGCTTAACCTATAACAAGTGTTTATTTATTGATAATTATTTATAACTGTACAACATAAAATATTTGCTTTTAACTCTTTATCGAGAAAATCCATGTTTCCGCTTACCTTCTTTGGAGTAGTCTTCTTAAGGAATTTGTAAATAGCCTTTTTGTGGTACATACGAGTACGACTAAATCTGTAGACTCCATTTCCTAAGTCATAATTCCTTGGTTTTCCTCTTGAGGGCTTTCCTTTGACTTTCTTTTCACCAGCAGATTCTTTTGCTGCAGCAGGTTCTTTTGCTGCAGCAGATGTAGCTGCAGTCTTCTTCTCTTTAGTCTCTTTTGTATTAGTCATCTTTAAGAACAAAATTAATTAAAACACACTTAATCTATTCTAAAATATTGTATTACTAAAGTAACATGTACTTAAGTATATCAACAACAATTAGACGCATGTTACACACATTTGCAAACACAAATACATTCATGGTTATGTTACTTTCACGTTTACGCGTTCAGAGGTTATGAGAGATTGCGAGTCTCTCACGTTTCGCAAAATTTACATAAACAAAACACAGAATGAAACAAATAGATTAAAATTATAAACTATGATTTATAACTTGGTGCAAATCAAAGAGAATCTTTTGAGAAAGAAAGAAAATTTGCAAATCGAAATGTTAAACGCACGATCGTATACCATCGTGCGCATTTGTGCCGTCAAAGTAACGAATTCTCGTCAATTGTCACAAAAATATAGTAACATCCTAATAAAGCGATCGTAACTGCATAATAATCACGCATCACATTTATCATACCTTTGTTATAACAAGTAGATTATTCGGATTATATGAAATAAATTGTCAAATCAAATTCTTACCGTCAAGCGCGATCACCTAAAAGAGCCGACACTCCATCTACCGAGAACTTTGAGAACCATGTATCGAGTTAATAAGTCGGCAAATATCGATGATATACACATTTCGATATATCGATACGAAAAACCTTGAGGCAGAAAGAGGACTGAGAGCGGCCATGTTATTGTTGTTTTTTCCATTTTACTGTCAATAAGTAGAACTGCCAAACATCGAGAGCATCGATAATGGAGGCACGCACACAAACGAAACCGTGTCCGTGTGCGTGACGTCGAGAGAAGCCTGAGAGAGACCAGGTCCATAAAGCCTATGTCACACTACGGATTGGGATTGAGATTGAATTGAAATGTGACCAATCAGAAGAAAGAAAACCAAACCTAATTTTACTGATCTTTTCTCTGATTGGCCAAATTGCAATCCAATCTCGATCCTAATCCGTAATGTGACATAAGCATAAGAGAATGTGTAATCACTTTTCCGCCCCGTAAACTAGCGCATGTCCACATGGGTGGTACACATTGGAACTACGCAGCCAGTCCACGAGCGACATGTCGGTGCGCTATGTCCACAGCGTGCGGTTCTAGTCTGTGCTATGTGAGCGTGAATTTCATTTTTTTGAAATTTAAAATGACCGATCTCGTGATGAAAAGATGAAAAAGGAAAACAAAAAAGGATAAGAAAAAACATTGCAACTTTCCGTACAATATAAATGTAATATACAAGAAAAGATGTGATAGTCAAGAAAAGAATATTATTTTAGCGAGCAACATCAGACTTCGTGGAGTGTAGTCAAATATCATCGAATTCTGATGCTGCTCGCTAAAATAATATTATTTTCTTCACTATCACATCTTTTCTTGTATATCACATTTATGTTGTGTGGAAAGTTGCAATGTTTTTTTTTAATCCTTTTCTGTTCTCCTTTCGTATCTTCTCATCACGAGAAGACCGATCATTTTAAATTTCAAAAAAATCAAATTCACGCTCTCGAATATACTCACACGCCTGAAGAAGGTGACCATTTAAAGTCGTGCACATAGCACAGAATAGAACCGCATGCTGTGGACATAGCGTACCGACATGTCGCTCGTGTACTTGGCTACGTAGTTCCAATGTGTACCACTCGTGGACATGCGCTAGTTTACGGGGCGGAAAAGTGATTACACATTCTCTTATGGGCCTGGTCGCTCTCAGATTTCTCTCTGGTGACGTTCCAGTAAAAAAAAAAAAAAAATAATTGAACTATGTAAGTACACACACATAGAAGTCGCTCTTATCTCTCTGAAAAATGAAAAAGATTCATTTAAAATTTTTTCTTCTATAAAATACATTGTCTATTTTATATAAAAGACTTTATACTAAAATGCTTCAAACTAAATGTTTCTCTTTGTCAAAGTAAAATTCTTTCAATGTTGTTTTTATTTGTATTTCTGTCATTTTTATTATTAGACATATTTTTTTTTTTTGTATACATTTACAATATATTCAATAGACTTTTACAAATGCAATAATGTGGAAAATAACGAACTTAGGAGATCTCCCATTCCTCCTCGTGTATTTTATCGCGATCTATTCTTCATACATCTTACACACATACGTTTCCCAGCATTATCTTATAGTAGTTTCAAGGACGTAGAGCCTTTGAATATACCATTGCGTTTAAACGATAAGGTGGCAATTTACGACATGCGTAAATGTGCATTCGGATGCGGGACAGTTTTGCATTAACAATAGCTTCTGTGACGATAGAGTCATTTTGAGTGATCACATGTGTATAAAAGTGTTATATAATATATATATATAACATTTTTACAACACACACTGCCATGTATGTATATAAAACAATTGCACAAAATCTATTTCTTCTTTCGATCTACATCTACAGAATAATTTGCAGTACAAGAATTCCAAACGACTTAATTAATCATTATTCTCATCGATATATTCCAGCACTAAATGTGTGAGCGCGATATAAATTACACAATATACAAAGATTTACACAAAAACAAGATATGACATCGAGATATCAGCAGTAGAGCCATTAATGAAATTTGCGAAAACGATATGTGCGTAACAACAAACACAACGCCCGCGTCAATCGCGACAGTAAAAAAAACTTATAAAAATTATACAGGATTCGGCCGAATAATACACACAAGCAGGATGTGATTTCTGATGAAAAAGTAAGAAAAACTATAGAATAAAGTCTTTTCATTTTTAGATTAGTTTTCGAAAAAATCGAGTTTGTTTGCAAACACGATACGTTGCTCGACTAACCGTATCTCAGTCGTAACAACGTACGTACGCAGCGGATATATTTTCAAACTCGATTTTCTCAAAAGCCGGAAGTGAAAAGATCTTACATTTGGTTTTCTTTTAATTTTTTCACGAGAAACCACGTCGTGTCTGCTTGTGCATATTTATTCAAACTGGATCCTGTATAATAACATAACAAGAGAAAAACTTATATTTAAATTAATTCCCCGAATTATCACCTATTATAAGTATCCTTCGGCACTGCGATTATCCGTCTTACGAGTCTAAATCATATGAGTGCTTATATTGCCGGAAGGCAAATTATTATCTGAGTAAAGTGGAGATAAAAATAGCGAGTTTTTTTTTTCTGATGGCTTTGGATCGCGCGATGTTGACGTATTATTCGATGAATAATGGTACATAGTCTCTCAGATGAATCTGACAGATGGATGGAGGATGCATTTATTATGCAAATTTTCTTGTGAGAAACACATATATGTACCTCACGGATATGATTAACGAGTAATAAAAAATCGAGTCACAAAAGAGAGAATCTTATGTTCATTGCGCGAAAACATGCAATGTATAACATCAATACAATTTCTTCATCTGTGCTTCCTTATTGTCTCTGTAAAGGAGAAACAAAACCCAGAATTACGCGTCTTATTTCTTTGACGATACATCAAGATGATATTTACACACAAGTGTCTGTAATAAATTTACCTGTAAATGCTGTACACAAATAATATGATCATCTGTATAGCAATGAACATCAAGAATATTGGTGTTGTTAAACAACTAGAGCACTGAGTATCTGAGCTGCTAGTGATCTTGGCATCTTTCTTCAACGTATTCAATCCGTCTCGCACTTCTGCTGCAAACGATTGAAAATCGTATCCCATTGGCTGCACCTACGCACGTTTACATTGATGTAAAAATTGTGCAAAATTTTTTTGTTGTCACTCTTAAAGTATGCTAATATATTAATGTAAACCTGTGCAGTTGGGGCGCGCGCTTGATTATTGAGAACAGAATCCGTTTTGGTGTTAACCTCTCCCATAAAAGTGCGAATTTCCCTGGCTAGATTTAAGATAAGATTTTGATTATTCAGCACAGCGTCGACTTCCTGCCGACGTATGGTATCAGTTAACGCAGGTTGCTGACCCGGATGGCCACCCGTAACGTGCCCACCTAATTGTGCGTTTATTTATTAACACATAACATTTCTTTTGTGTGAATCGCAAATAGGCAACAGACAAATGTACCTTGACCCACTTGAGCTACCAAACTCAACGTTCTCTCTTGTTTTCCAATCATTTCGTCCAACTTTCTGAGAATTTCACGCAAAGCATCGAACATCTGACTCTGTCCGTTAAATATTTGTCGTAATTCTCTCTGATTTTCGGTTTCGAAATAATCGAAATTCTCGAATTCATTTTTACGATACTGATCTGGATGTTCTCTGTCAAAATATACTTACATCAGCACAGTGAAGAAACCTTGCTGACACATCACAAATGTAATCGTGTATTTTGTATTACTTACTTGCGGTATTCCTCTTTCTGTTCGTCCAATTTCTTTTGGTAGTCTAAGTATTCCTGTTGGAGTTTCGCTTGTTCTTCCTGAGAAACTTTGTGCGCATCCGTCGATAGCTGACCAGGGGGATGCAGAGAAGTAGTGAGGAAATGTAATACGTCATGATCGTCAGCCAAGCCACCTGAGTAAACGAGAATAGAGTATAATACAAAAGCAATTTTGCACGCGCGCTCATTAATATTTTATGTACATACCAGTAGCAGCGGAAACTCCAAAATATCCATTTTTCGGTAATATAACATTATCAACTCGAAAACAGATATCGTAATCTTGCTCGTTGTTTGTCATGCCATTGTGGAACAACAACTTAAATAAAACATTCAAAACAATTTATACGTGACAATAAGAATAAATTTTTCAGAAAAAAAAAAACAATTTTTCAGAATACTCACTGTTAATGTATTCTTATAATACTCTATTCTCGCTCGCGTTGCAAAAGGTTTGTTGCGGAAATCTCGCAAACATCCTCCTCCCGCCAATTGTTGTGTAGAGCCATCACTAATATCAAAGAACAAAATAAAATAAGACTAGAAACCTTTCCTTATTATTTTGCGCAGAACAATTATTTTAGATAAAATAATTTACTTTGCGTGATCAAAAATCTTTGTGCCGTCATTGACAACTGCCATAATATATGGATTGTTGTGTTTATTGTCATTATCGAACGAATCGAAGAAAACTCCCAGGCCTGTCCATAGGTCTGAACTGCCAAAAACAGTGCCATTGTACTCGCCTTTGGCGGTCGTGTACCAAAATGCCAAACCATCCGCTCCTATCCTTCCTCGTCCGCTAATACGAAATGCTAATTCCACTTCCCACCAGTCAAAAGTTGTTGGCTGTCTTACCCATATTGCACCTAAATAGTTTTACACATTATGGGATTTGCTATGTGTTTTATAAAAGAATTTCTTTTTCAAACATTTAAGTTAATTATTAACACCTCTATAATTCTTTATACAAACCTTTTTGACTTCTAAGTGAAGGAGCTATTCTAACATTTTCTGTACTAGCAATAGTATCTGTAATATAAAATACAAATATAATTAATATGCAAGTTTATATCTTAAATAATAATAATAATAATCTTATATATTCAAAAATGTGTAAATTCAAACACATCAATCTCTTAAACATGTGATTTCTAAATGAGATGTTTTGAGTGAGTAAAACATATGTTTAATCAAATCCCATGTATACAACAATAATTGGCTACTAATAGTGAATTATATCTTAAATAAACACGCAACAAAGTTATCTGAATATTATTTTACACATAATACTGCATTAATTTACATTATTTTATTATCATTCAATGACGGAAATGTCATGATTAATGACATTTGCGTTACTGATGAACATTTGTAGTGATTTTTGCCTCGGAGTATTATAGCTTACAAATTATACGATTATTAACATAATTGTAGGCGCAGATACGCAATCAAATATCATCTTTTTATTGCTTGTTCTACAGTGTAAGAAAATAAAGACTGTACACACACGTCACGCAGATGTTTTCATTGCTTTCGTGTGACGTACCAATCGGTAATACATGACCTGGGGGTCAAGATCGAAAGATCCTGGTATCGGTTTCAGATCTCGGCGAACGACTTGACGCATCGCTTAAATCAATCGTCGCGAGAACATACGGCAGGTACGAGCCGGAGGGATCACATCGATGCGACAGGTGTCGATCGGTGATTAAGGTTATACGACGACCACGAGGAGGGGGAGAGAGGAGCAGATCCATACTCACTTCCACCGTATTCCCAGAACGGTACGCTGCCATCCTTTTGCGCGAGGTACGGCGGCTTGAACGAGTATTTGTACTCGAATTTTCTGTGAATCTCGCCGCGGCACGAGACCACCACGCACGAGATGAGAAAACCCAGGAGCCACCTCACCTCGGCGGCCATCATCATTTCAACTGTCGACAGTCGACGGCCGGCTCGCCGTGACCGTCGCTAGCCACCGTGCGATTCGTATCGGCGATTGGCGAGACGCTCCGAGTTTCGATCACGATTGGCTCCCGATCAGTGACGTGTCACTTTCGCGTGGCCAGATTTTCTTTCAACCACGCGAGTGACATCTGCGAACTCATTCACTAAACTCCACGTTCCCTCAAACCTTACGATCTTCTTCGTGCACTTGCTGTGATTAAAGCCCCTTGCACAATGGACGGAATAGCGATAGCGATAGAAATAACAAAAGTTTTAAAGAGTTTATATTTAAAAATAAAAGGTAGAAACAGCGGAATCTAACATACAAAACTACACATGTATCAATGCAGATCAGAAAATCGGAATAAGCAATAGCGATAAAATTTCCGACGAGTTGGAATTCTGTGTTAAAAACTGTGTTATTTCTATCGCTATCGCTATTCCTTCCATTGTGCAAGGGACTTGATAGAACTTGTTCGCGATTTGCGGTTTTGACTTTTGACCATTCGCAGATCGATCAATCGCAGATCGACGTAATCTCAAGTTCAGCAAATATTGGTTCGATTCGGGTTTGAAGCTGATCGACCAATTAAAAAGCTCGATCTGCGATAAGTCGAGAGCAGTGGCGCATTCCTATCTACATATGTGTTTCCACTCTCTTGAGACGCGCATCGCGTGAATTATATGCGGATTCGACTCGAGATGTAAATCGTGGATTCTGTAAGTAAGAGATAAAATTTATTTATTTCAAAAAAAACGGCGACGAAACGAATAAATTCAACCGGTTGCGGATACAAATGAATATCCGCAAGGACACTACTGAAATTCTATTCTGCGATCTGATTCTTGACTTCAGTTTTTTTATCAATTCCCAACGCAATTTGCTTAAGTAATCTGTTTACGCTCGTTGAGATCTTAATAAACAAAAAAAGTCTCATTAAATGATGACATATCGTATAATGAGCGTTTTAACGATTTCGCGCAAAAAAGGAGCGAGCAGGAGCGGAAGATCATTTCTTCCCCGCCATTGCGATACACACCGCTGCACCCGTGGTTGCATCGTTCGGCGCATCATTAGTTGAAAACATCATCTGATTCGCGTCGGTAGTCGATGGCACACCTGTGTCCAAGATGGCGTCGCTCATTGACAACTACGAACAGCAGTACGCCGTTTTGACAGCTGACATCACCGCAAAAATCGGTCGGATAAGAGTCCAGAGCGGCAGTGAGTATTTGTCGGAATGTTGCCGAACATCGTCGCGCGATCGAATTTCGTGCACGACAGCTCGCAAAGCGATCGTGCGCAAAATCGGCGCAAAAGAAAGAACAACAATCGATACGCGTACGTGACGTAATTTGCAGGTGAGAAAAGGGCTTTCGTTCAAGATGTGGACCGGCAAATTGAGGAAGCTCAAGAACTGGTGAGTGCATTTCTCGAATTAAAGTGACAAATCGGAACGAAGAGTAAAAATTTGATTTTTTTTGTGACTTGTTATCTCTGTCGAGAGATAACAATTCTGCGTGGGGTTAGAAAAGTGCTTTGTATTCTTTGCGATTAAGATACTTTATATATTTTGTGAAATTGTGTTTTTTTTTTTTTTTTTATAAAAATTCTAATACATTATACGGAAAGTATTGTGAGATTTCTCTCTGTATATTTTTGTGCCAATAGATCCGACTACTAGTATTGATCAGAGTGATGTGCATGCCAAGATATAATGTATTCTATATGAATAATTTAAACCTGAGATCACGAGTGTTTTTTTTTTTTACACACATGTAGACATGTTCTGTAATAACCAGTTTGATTTACATATTTGTATAATTGGAACTTGTCTTAGCAACAAACAAAAAACCAATAGCAGGGCAATTTATATGTAATTTGAAAATAGCTTTTAAAACATATCAACAGAAATTATATCATAAAACAACTTTATTCTTTATTTAATTTTTAATAAGAAACTTATAGTATTTCTATATAATTAAACTTAGATTAAAGAAACATTGAGTTGAGTGTTTAAGTAATGATTAATTGAATTACATTTATAGTAACGGAGCTACAGGGGGAAAAGAATTATAGAATTGTTGTATCGAGGTCACGGATAAGATCAAGAATAATTGGATACTCAGTGTGTGTGTTTTACTGCTTTTTATTTGCAGCGTGTTTTTTGTTTTCTTATAAAATATTCAAACTAGAGTTTACGTGTATAATATTTGCAGTTGGAGCAAATGGAGCTGGAGGTTCGTGGGATGAACGGAACAGCGCGCGATCGTCTGCGCGGTCGCGTCGAGAGTCACAGAGCGGAATTGAAACGTTTAACGCAAGAATTTCAAACGGCGAAGAAACCGAAGGAGGATATTACCGAGATCGCGATGGACGAGTCTTGGGAGAACAATGTAACAGAAGACCAAAGAAAAAGACTGCTGGACGCGTCCGAGAGAATAGAACGGACGGGGCGAACGTTACAGAACGGTTACCGTATGGCGTTGGAAACCGAGGAAATCGGTTCTCAAGTGATGAAGGAGCTTCACGAGCAGCGAGAAACGATACAGCGAAGCAGAGGAAGGGTACATTGTTGTCAATTTCGTATAAATTCAAAACAAAAAATCTCGAGAGATGTTAATTGAAAAAAAATATTAAAATTAACAATTACTATCAGTAACGTGTCAGTGTTTTTTTCTTTTTGCTTTTAGTTACGGGAAACGGATGCGGAACTAGGACGTGGATCTCGGTTGTTATCGGGAATGATCTTCCGTAGCCTTCAACAGAGGATTATCTTAGCAGCGGTAGCGTTAGTGCTCATACTCGTCGCGTGCATTGTGATATACTACAGTTTTAAGTCTAAGAGTTAAAGAAACAGAAGTTCTCTCTTCGGCCAGATCCACCAGGTATAGTTTATGGAAGCCATATATTTATTATATCAGAGACTTCAAAATATCATTTCTATCAAATTGCGAGGTTTCGTTAAGTAATTGCGTAATCGTATCTATCTAACTTTCGAACTTGTTTGTTCACATTTTGCCTTAAGACACGAATGTTCACACTCATATTTCTTGTTCTCTCTTGTTGTTCTAATTAAATATCTCGAATGATCTTGATCTCTCGTACATTATAAATACCGGCAGAATGCATGTCCACCACAAACAAGAACAAAAGCACCTGTTCTTAATGTTGTGTAAAGTCTCGTATAAAAAAATATTGACCCATCCTCGTAAGATAAACCGTCGAGACGGTTTTACCGATTCTTTTCTCTCGTGTTTTTTTATTTATTTATTTATTTGTTTAAGATAATTGGGATTTGTGGAATTTTTTCTACTGATGACTGATTATCAAATGCATTTATTTTCAAGAATAACCGAAACGAATCGTAAAACCGTTTCATTATTGTTGTTATTGTTGTTGTTGTCCGAGTTCATTCAGTTTATCCAGAAGCTTTGACATTGCTCTCGTTCTCTACATGCGCACTCAAGTTTCTAAGAAAATATTCCGAAACCACAAAATATATATTCAACAAGAGATTTATTAAGTAGTTAATTATTCAAGATTTTTTTACGCGTTTCGTACGCGCGCAAGCCTCTATCGGAGTAAAATCGAATCGGATTTACTCCTTCAATGTGTGTTTTTTCTCGATTTAACAAACTACTATAATTGTAAACCTTAACTTGAGCCGTTCATCGGGCGAGTTTCTTTAATCGACGGACTCTATCAACTAAAAATGCATTCTATATAATATTAATTCGTTCCTTACGCAAGAATAACAACGTGTATACATCGTTAATATAATAAGTGGGTAGGGTATCGCATCTGTAAATATAACTATCCATTACCATATAGAAAGTATCAAAGGATGCTTTTTTTTTTGCAATTGAGAGAAAAACTAGACGCGCCTAATAATAATTCATTTTATTACTCGTAATGTTGTTTATCTTAATTAGCCTAATCGGTGCTTTTACCTGCGTTTCTAATGTACCTGTGAAAATGATATATATATATATATATATATAATAAAAGTATCAAGGGTTAACGAATATTTCGATGATAATAGTGAACTTTGATGAGAGAACGGCGGCGAGGAAAGGCGCTTGTTGCTTTTCTCTCTACCATCGTTTCCATTATTTTTATTTTTTTTTTTTTAATTTTTTTTTTTTTGGTTTTTGTTTTTTTTTTTGCGATCAGTGCTGATGCGATAACGCGATAGTCGCTCAGTCTGGTCAGTCCAACTGTTGGTAGAGATCTTCTATCTGTGGTTTGAAGTACGCTTTCAACTGAGGCCGTTTCGATTTCAACGTTGGTGTTAGAAGCCCATTTTGCACGGAGAACGGATCTGGATGGAGATAGATATCTTTCACCTGTACACGTAATCAAAAATAAATATTTTTTCAAGTTCTAGAATTATATCGAAATCTTTCTTAAATGTTTTTTCTACACCAGTTCGTTTTTATCGTGTAAGATATATTAGACGAAGAGAAAAACTCTCTTCGATATTTTCAAACGAAACGAAAAGCAAAGAAGAGACAACTCACCTGTTCGAAGGATTTGAGACCCGCTTCTCTTCCCCATGCCAGCATGTCGTCCATTATTAATTTCTTAACCTCCGGATTGGCGCACAGGACGCTCAACGTACCGGGTATTCCGTTCTCCACTGCCCAGCACTTAACTACATCTACGTCTGGTACTACTATTGCTATAATACAAGATTTTAGTGACTCTCCATGGACGAATACTTGTTGCACGTATTGACTACGAATATAAATGTTTTCGATTTTTTCCGGCACTATGTACTCTCCCTGCGACAGCTTGAAAATATGCTTCTTCCGATCTATGATTTTTAACGTTCCGTTCTGAAAATAATTTACATGTATAATTGAATGAAATGGCGAAAAAACCAAGTACATTAGTTAATTATTTATTTGTAATCAACATTAGAATTAAGACCATTGCGAGAGAAACAAAATTTTAACGAAGGAATAATCAATGACTACTTACCGGTAGCCACATCCCGATGTCTCCCGTGTGATGCCATCCCTGCTCGTCGATCACCTCGGCAGTCTTTTCAGGATCTTTGTAATAACCGACAAAGACGTTAGTGCCCTTGACGCACACCTCGCCCTGATTATTCGCCGTGTAATATTCCATTTCCGGAACATCGACGAGCTTGATGCAATTACAAGCCAACGGTGGTCCCACGTGTTCCGGCACATGATCGCCCTGCGTCAAGACGAGGACGATTGAAATGAAGACGATCGGGATTGAAAATAATACGAGCAACGAGATGTCACTTTCAAATCAAAGAACGAGATAAAAAAAGAATTCATTCTATTCGTCGAAAAAGTGATCACCACTGGGAAGAGCTTTGCGCGGCATGGCGTGCGCGCAAGAGTCCGAATATAGATGTGTGACAACGAATTCTACCGAATACAAGGGGCATTCACTAGCACGCATCTAATGAGTCTTGTGATGTGGGCGGCACGCCACGTGCCCTGGCACATGGCTCGGAAGCTTCGATTCGATGAGCTGAACAGAAATATCCGCGCATCTCGCGCGTCTATACTCATCCCCATGCCAATACGTTGCGAACGCGCCAAGAATAGAGAGCACCCGCATCACTTAATTGTTAGCATTCGATAAACAAAAAAAAACGAAAAGAAAAAACGTTTTTCGAACGTCAGCGTAAATTTAAACGTCTCTCCACGGTGTTTCCGGAGAGAGAGAGAGAAAAAAAAAATTTATGTACGTCTTCTTTTAAAATAAAGATTTGTTGATGTTACGAGCAGAGACGTTTATTGCGGCCAGCACTAGCGTAATAACAATAAATCGAAATAATAATCCTCGAATAAACCCTAGTTTATGCGAAGGTTGAGAAATAGAGAAGGAAAGAGAGGAAGAGAAAAGCGCTCTAGCAAACAAAATTGCAGAAATAAATCGAACCTCGCGAGAATAAAGCGTGCGTGTGCGGGTCTAACGTTCAGAAGTTTCAGCGTTGTGTATAACGTGTGAGTAAATACTCAAGTATATCTTTTTACAGTCTGTTAGCGGAACCTACGCATACCTTCGCTCGCGCATTCTTCTATAGACGCGGTGAAGGACGGAGCGATATTAATTGCGGGGGGAGGGGTTTTATGCTCGGGTGATTAGGGTGGATACTAGAGCAGCGCTTCTCGAACTACGCGTTTCTTCGTTCTTCACAGGTTTCTGGCGAAAAAGTATGTGTGTGTGCGTGTGTAAAAATATTCGATCGATAGTAGATTTTTGTACAATGTTTGTAAGATTTGTTTGCGCAGCTAAAATCGTGCAAAAAAAAAATCACATCGTGAAAAGAGAAGTTTAATTTTAACTTTTCAATTATGTAACTCCATACGTCGGAATCACAAACGTGCATTTAATTTCGAATCGTCGTGAATCGCGTTAAGGCGATTACACATCCCGCGGCCGTTTTATCGAAAATTATGAACTGTGTTGTTTACGAAAAGTCTTCGATAATTGCATTTAAATCTATTAACAAACGTTCGGACGAGTGCGGGCAATTTATACAGAATGTTAAAGGTGATCTACGCGTGTCTTAAATTTCCGCGGAGAATTTGTCGATTTTGTCGCGGTGCCAAACGGCGTTCGATAAAGTACGGTCACACGACGGTACGGCGAGAGCTTTTCACAAATGATCTCTCGTACATGCCGGTTTGATAACCATAATATCGGTAGAAATGTGATTTAACGAGAATGTTTTTAACAGAAATAAATTAAAAATGAGAAGTGACTTGTGTGTGTCGATAAATAAAAATATTTATCGAGTTTAACTGATACGAATACGCGCAGAATTTTAAGTGAGCAAATCTATTGGAACAAATAATGTAAAAGAAAAATCTAAATACAATACACAACAAATAATATATACAATATTATCTAGTCTTGCTGTTGGTCTGTACGCGATAAATTTTGTATTCATCGACGAGACGATAAGCGAAATTTATGTTATTTTTTTCGTTTGCGATAAGCGAAAAGAACAAACAAAGTATTTCTAAATGTGTAAAGAATGTATATTGAATGAAGTTACCTTACTTACTTTAACATTTAAATCGCACTTTGTGATCCAAAGCGCGCGTTTAGCGCTCAACTTAGAAAAATGCAACGCTTTTAATAAAAAATGCGTATTTGCGAGTCATACATCTTATCGATTGCTTGTGTAACCGCCGACTATACACTACTACTTATCATTAAAAGATCTTTATGACACACACACACACACACACGCATGTGTGTGTATCTATACATGGATGTTCGGTCTTCCGTCAAACGTTCTGTCGTACATACGTTAACGTTCTTATAGATGTGCGCATCAATCGTCGAGTGCTATTTATTCCTACCTCGTCGAGTGTGAGTGATAAGAAAAAACTCGCAATTGCAGGTTTTTAGGACTCAAGATACAATCCTGTTACGCAGCTCAAGGAAAACGTGTGAAATATATCGAGAAAACACTCGTGGAAAATGAAATAAAAATAAAATAAGTGAGAGAGACAAAAATCGAATCTGAAGACGAGAAAAAGATGATAAACGACAAGTGCGATGTACAAGTTGAAAATGTACGAGGCCGTGCGATAACGAAAGTTTATTTTTTGAAAACCCTCACAGGAATCATCACGAGGAACGCGAAAATATTTTCACGGCCGTAAATCAAGATACAGACCTGAATAGTGAGCGTTATCGGCGCGCAGCACTCCGTCTGACCGTAACCCTCGACTATCAGGCAGCCGAGGGCGCATCTGGCGAACGTGAGCACGTTTCCGGCCAGCGGCGCGGAACCAACGAGCATCAATCTGAGGTTGCCGCCCATCGACTCCTGGATCTTTCTGAACGCGATCTTGTCCCATATGCTGTTGTTTCTGAAGATGCTCTTCTTGATCTCCGTCTCCTTCGATCGCAGGCCCATGTTGAAAATCATTCTCTTCAGAAACGATCTGTGGAGCTCACTCTGCACCTGCAAACGCCAAAGCGGATGTGTCGGAAAAATCGGTCTTCGATTATTATTAATAATAATTTTATTAAGACGCGATAGATTAAATACAAATTTTATAAACGCGAGCGAAATAATCGTAACAAAAGCGTTTAAAGGGCTATATATTATGTACTTTATATACACAAATATTTTGTGTATATATACACATATAAATATTTTATGTGTACATACGCGAAAAATAAATATTCATTCACGTGCGTGTGTGTCACTCTGAAAATTTTGGCATGATGGAATATTTGTGTTATCATAAGTTATATACACACACAGAGAGAGAGAGAGAGAGAGGAAGGATCTATTTACATAGGATGCATATTGACGTTTAGGTTGCATATTGTCGATTAACGAGCGATGACAGGCAAATCTCTTTCGCGAAGCAATTTTATAAATACCTGACGCTATTTCTCACTTTGAGTATCGCGCGCGTAAACGTTTATGTGAAAAGCAATATTTGGGTTTAATGTTGGAGTAACGGCGGAATGCTATCGTCGCGTCGTAAAGAAGTTGAGCGGTGTCCAAGAACGATTTCCGCCTAACAACGAATCTCGCGTAGAAATAATTCCAGTCGGACGAACGGAAGTGCGCGCGAGGACATCCGCTCGGTTCTCTCAATTCGTTCGAGCGGAGGAACGTAAACAGAAAATAATTACAAGATTAAAAAAAAAAAGCATTTCTTTGTTTCTCCCAAGAGATTGCAGCGGCACTTTGTCGAACGTATAAATGCAACAAAAAAAAAAAAAAAACAACGAATGTTCACGACCGTTCTCTCACGAGACGAGGGAAATAATAAAGAAGCGCACGTTAAGATTTCAATTTTCGAAGCTGTCTAAGAGATTGCGCAATCGAAGATTACGGTGTTCTATAATAAGCTAGATTTACAGTCCTGTAACAACTTGTGTCAGTTGTCGTCTGCGCGGAGTTAATTATTGCTACGTGAGAAATGCATTCAGTGATGATTTTGCTATACAATCTGACCAACGATGATTCAGCGGCAAAACTTCCTCGGACACCGAGAGACAGTCAAAAGTCGGAATGTATGACACGACGTATCTATCACGCGAGTCTAGCGGCCGACTAAAGTGGACCAAAAATAAATCGCGAATTAACACAAAGCGCGCGCAAACGAAACGGAGATAATCAACGTGAAATAAATCGTGGTGAAAGAACGTTATCACGCAATTTGAATTCACCTTCTGGTAAATTACCTTTTTGTGGTAATTTGAGGAATAAAAATTGTTAGAGAATGGAGAAGATAACAGAAGATAACAGAAGTATGGGAGTTTGTTTTCTCAAATCGTGACACTTTGTCTTGTAGTATTTATATCTTATTTTATCGCGAGAAATAACTTTCTGACTGATAAGTCGGAGTAGATTGATTGAAATGTCAATTGTTGTTCCACTCACCTTATCGTAAATTCGATTCAATAACCTAGGCACAGCCGGCGTTACGGTAGGCTTGAGCGTCTTCATGTCGTCGGCCAACTTCTTGATGTCGCCGCCGAAGAAGCCGACGGAGCCGCCCACCATGTACATCGCGTTCTCGCAGCAACGCTCCAGCATGTGCGCCAACGGCAAAAAGCTGATCATCGTGTCCTTAGACGAGAGCGCGTGATCGCCCATCTGCATTATCACCGAAGCTATGGCCGATATGGCGTTCTGATGCGTGAGCATCACGCCTTTGGGGTTGCCGGTTGTGCCTGAGGTGTAGCATATCGTGCAGAGATCGGTCACCTTAGGCGGCAGCTCCGGGTGGTTCTTCTGCGCGCCGAGACGCTCGATATCTTCGAACCTGTACAGCTCGATGCCGCGATTCTTCGCTCGCTGATTCGTCGCCGGTCGCGTCTGCTTCACCACCACCAGCTTCCGTAAACACCTGTCAAGAGATTCGTAGATTCGTTACCGAGACGCAGGAATTATGGCGCGGGTGACTTTCTCTCGGTCGGGAATGTATGTTATATATGTGCTTCACTTTGTAACACCCGAGGCTCTTGGCAACGTTACAAATTAACACTTTCAACATCGCGCGCGCCTTTAAGGCTACTTTCGGGAGAGGCCCTGAGAGTGTTTTCTTTCTTGAGAGGAAACTGGTGCTTGAAATGGGCCGGCCAACATCTGGTCGACACATTCCAAGCTTCTCGTGAGATTGTGCCCGATATTGCATTGCGTGGATGAAAATTCGTTCAGAAAATAATGCGATAGTAGATATTGACTGTCAAACGTACCTCGGTGCTTTGTCGAGGAGCAAATTGCACTTTTGGTCGTCTTCGCATACCACTAGATTAATGTCAGTCTGATTGATGATGTACGCACAGGCGTCAGGGCCCAAGGTGTCGTACAATGGCACCACCACGAGTGAGTACGAGTAGCACGCCTGCTCGGTGAGGATCCACTCGGGACAGTTCTGACTGTAAAGGCCTACTAAAGTTTGTTGACCGGGGACCAGCCCCATGGACACTAGGCCGGAACCAAAATTCTTCGCCCTGAGCAGCGTCTCGTTGTAATGAAGCCATTGGTAGGGTTTGTTCGGCCCTTCCCTCCACCCGAGACAGGGACCGTTGTCTGAATATTCGTGCAAACAGAATATTTCAAGCGTAGAATATTGTTTTATATATGTATAACTATACTGTTACGTTTTTTTATTAATATACATATTTATTTTTAGAGGAACATTCTGTTGTCTATATATGGCGTGTTTACGAACTACTCGATAAATAATTTTGACGCGTAAAAGACGACGAAGAATTTATAAACGTCGGGGGAGGAGGGTGAGCGCAACCACCTACCGCGGAATTTTATCGCAATAAAAATCGTCGGCGGAGGAAAGAACCTCGGCGAGATTATCGATCTTCGAACCGGGGTCTGTCGTCATCGTCATCGTCGTCGTGGTCGTAGGTAGGTTGTAGGTCGTGTAGAGCCGCGACAGGTGTCGGCGGCGCAGGCGTGGGTTCTTCACGTCGCGTAGCAAAAATAATAAGAGATACACGCGCACCCGAAATAAACTACTGTCAACCTTCGTTCGGTAAGGTCGTCGAATCGAGAAGGCGAACGATGACGATTCGAATTGTCAGGCCTCTCGTTAGGAAGCCTACCTCCGGCTTGTTTACGCGCTTTATATTGCGCGACTGCAAACACCGGGTTTGTTTGCCAAACGAGCCGCTAAATCGAACGCGCGTAATTGCGTACGTGGACGTCTTCTTCAGCGGGAAGAAGCGCGTTTTACACACACGCGTGTAAATCGAATAAATTACGCGGACAAATTGTGAAAACTCGCGATTTTGCAACACGTCATTGTTTCGCAACAACATCAATTCTTCGTCGTCACGACCAATTGAATTGATTAATTGAACGCGTTGTCTGTCACTTTTCCCGCGGACTTAATTTTCTCTCGCTCGACGGAATCAATTGGAATAACACCAATTATGGCCGACGCGATTAGGTCTGTGGAAATTCTAACGAAACCGGTTGAAATTCCTGAAGCACACTGGGAAGGGGAAAGGGATGAATTTTGCTTTCACTATAAAGAGAACTAATAATTGAAATACTCACTGGATTCCTTGGCGCCGCGACGAAAGCTGTCGTAGAGGGTGCGCGTGTCATCGTGGAGGTGGGTGACGAACTTGCCTTCCCTCCCCTCCTTGTAGAACCTCGACACCCGGATGTGCTCGTTGCCCTGCGAACAGAGGGTAGGCGAAAGTCGAGCGAAAGCTCACGAGATCCGTGTGTCATTACGTAACCCGACTTGTGCGACGACAAGTGCAACACTAAATTTAGCCGGGGCGACGCACGCAGCCCTGCGTTTCGACGCAGCTGATGATGATGATGATGATGATGATGATAATGATTACAACGGGCCTGTTAGATCGCGAAGAATGCAGCAGGTGAAGAAAAAGTTTGCATATCGAGTTCGCGCGCGGTCGTGAATACCTCGCACGTTTCCCTATATATCGATCTCTACCGCCGAGTCGCGCGGACATCCGCCTCTTTCGGCTTCATCGACGTGTTTGTGCGGCGACGACGACGTCGCACCACCCACGTTTCCCGACGCGAATCGGAAAAAGCAACGTGCACGAGATACCGTTGAAATATCGCGCGTATTACCGCGCGTCAAATTGCGCGCTTCTTTGAACAAAAATCTTAAACAACATAAAGTTACACACTCTTCTTCGGAAAACCGAACTTTTGTTCCTCAAACTTGTTTTTCAATTAGAGTCAGCGAATTCTCTCTCTGAAGATTTGTGCGAGCCACGCAGACTTTATTGCGAAGAATGATGCAATTATTAGTGTTACTTCGTTTATTATATATTTTAATGATATATAAATTAAAAATTTATATTTAACTCTAACGCACATTCACCAAGCGTACAAATATACGCGATGTTCTTATTTATAAGCAGTTTAATTATTACAATTTAATTTGTTTTATGAATGGTAAAAATTTATTTGAAATTTAAATTAAAAATGTTTCTTAACTAATTAATTTTCTGTCCAATAGAATTTCAATTTGTGCATACATTGTAGCGTAACAAATTTCTTTGAGTTGTTGAAAAGCACAAAGGTAGAAAATAAAAGCATAATAGATAACACACACAGATGCAGACAGTGTATAAAGATAATTTATTGCGACTTCAATGACTTGCAAGTTTTTTACGCGTACGACTGACAAATGCAACATGCGTAATCTCGAGTCGGAAGTCTCGAGACGTGGAAGTGCGAGTGGATAATCATCATTTGTTATAAATGTGGAATTTTTTTAGTCGCGATAACGGTGTGTGTAATCTAAAATTGCAAACGATATTCACGTCACGACTTGATTAAAGTCTCAAACAAAAATTCGACACTCTTTTTTCTTTCTTTACTTTTTTCTTCATGGTAACATTAAAATAAAATGTCCATTATTTTTAATCATCACGCTAAAATTATATCTGCAACATAATCTACGTTTAGTTGTATGTAACAAAATTTTCGTTCATTATCGCGTTACGCAAGTCTTATTTGTTTAAAAAAAATTTTCAGAAATCGCGAAAAACACTTCGAAATTGTCGGTTCCGCGCCGAATAAAATAAGAAAAAAAAAAATCCGCCGCGCGTAATCGCGAAAACACTCTTTTCTACATTCCAAAGAGAAGCCACTCCACCTTGACCGTGTCGGACTGATCGCTGAGGTCTATCGGCGGCTGAATCGGCTCGTGGAAGAAGCAGCTCGACGACATGACGCACGTAATTGCAGCACAGTAACACGCGCGCTCTTAATCGGGGGGGGGGAGGGGGGCACACGTCGTCGACGACCCCCCGAGATCTGATTTCCGCGGGTATTAAGATACAGGTTGAACTTGCCGGATCAACACGTCCGCGGCCACTGAATACGCGTCGAGCTTGCGGTCGAGTTTTCGGCCCCGAGATTTTGGCTCACGGCGCGGATGTCACGCGGACATAGTGCCCATGTCTTTTGGCATCTCTCTCCGCGAAAAAGACGAGAAGTCATACCCGATGTCAATACAGTCAATCACCCCTCTAGTACGAGTAAATAGATCTGTACAGGAGTCTTAAAATTATGTGGAGAAAATCTTGTGGTGTCTATTGTTGTATATATTTGGACACGCGCGCGCTAAAATCTATATGTGATTAATATTGGCAAATATTAGAAAAAAACATGAATGCTTGAGAAGTTAGCGCAATACCGAAAAGTAGTTACTCTTTTGCAGTAAGTCGAAATGTGTTCCGTGAATTTTTTTATTTTATATAATATATTAAATATGTAACATATGAATATATATATAATAAATATGTAACATACGAATATATATATATATAATAAATTAAACGTAATTATTACGTACATTACATATTTAATATATTTATTTTATTTACTATTGATTGTATATTTAATATTATTATTAATATTAAATTATTTGTTTAAATACTATATTAATTAATAGGCACGTAACATATAAATGGAAATGGCGACTTGAAATAATTTTTTAATGAGAAAATTGACCGAATTTAAATCCACGGTAGAATGGAGAGGAGATATGATATCCGAAAACGCAACTTTTGTATTTTGCACCTTTTGCACATTTTGCCCGAAAATCTCGTGATCGTGCAAAAGTAGAACTGCGTAAATCGCATCTCGTGCATGTATCCGGTTTGTACTGAGAGATCGCCGGCGGCCAACCAACCGGCCTCGCGCGATGGCGAAGGCCCATCCTCCGCGAAGATCCTCGGATTAAATATAGTGCGCCACGGCGAGAGCGTATCGTCGTCCCCGACGTCGGCAAGTTTGGACGGGCGCCAGGCCGAAAGTTTGGCCGATCGACGCCACGCGTCGACAATTTCTCGGCGCACATAGAAACCAGTTTCTCTCACTGTGGCTTCTTTCCTCTTCACATACCCGTTGTCTCGAGACCAACGGCTTCAAGTAATTTACCATGGGCAGTCGTTACGTGGCGTTTTACGACGCGTCAGTTGGAAAGTAGCAGAAGAAGAGGATCCTGAAAACGCGCTCGTCCTCGTTTTACGGGTCATTGACTGACGTCGGCGTCAACGTAATCCCGAAGATAAGCGCACGAAGCAGGTAAATGTTTAGAGAGAATTACCACACACACACACACACACCACCGTTGGTAATTTACGTGGGACGTCTAACTGTGCATTTATTGCACTTTCTTTTGAGGATTCCTTTCGAGCATTCTTCGAGCATTCTTGGGTTCTTCGATCGATAATTTTTGAGTTTTTCCACTCACTAGTTTTTATCTTATCGCGGAAGTTGCGATATGGAATTGTTAGATTTACGACTTACCGAAAGTAACCCGGCTCGAGCGTTGCTGTATCGATTTTGTTAAGAAACTTACATCGATCGCTCCGGTGAGATTCGTTACTTCGCGCAAATTTTGTTTTAAAGCACAGTAGACCTAATCGAGCCGGGAGACCGTCCCCGAGGCACTCGCGAAATATTAACGTGAAAACACACCGACTCGAAAAAGCGCGTATCGAGTTCGTCGTAATCGATACATCCTTCGCTTTAGCGACGTCTCTGGTATGAGAGTCCGGAGGGAAAGCTTATGTAAACTGATAGTCGAGACAAGGGTTGTGATGCAAGCCGATTGGTAAGACTAATCTTGAAAGCTCATTATATCGGTCGGGCTTCGAAAATAACTTTGGTGAACGTGTTCGACACGTTGCTTTTCAAACGGGTTCTGTGTCGGGCGACGTGTGATGCTGTCGTGGTCACACGTCTGCGTATCCCTCGCACGATGAATGAATCGTGAACGCAATACCCGCGACTAATTCAATGAACGCGAGAGGAAAACGCGGGAAACGCGTCTGACAGTTATCGCTTCATCTATTGGCAAATTGTACGGCCTCGCAATACGGGCAGGTATTTTTATAGCGAGTTACACGTAACTTCAATCGAATCGACTGGAGCGACAGGTTCGCTCGCCTTCTCGCGTTTTATAAATAAAAGAGAAAAATAAATAAAAAAAACAGTTTTTTTTTAGCGCAAAAATAAGTTTTTTAACGTTTGTCTTGACGAAGTATTTCCTCGAAAAAAAACTCCAACGATACATAATTTTGTCACCAAAATGTGCGAATTATCACACGTATATGAATATTTACATAAGTAAATGTTCTTATCATATGAATAATTATGCATATGTACGAATATATTTGCAAAAGTTTTTCATTTTAAATTTGCGATATACGGATGCGAAATTAATGACATAAGACGACCACGCGGTTCATGCAAAATTCTTGTTCTGTAAATTCAATTGGATAAATTAAAAAACCAAGAGATAAAAAAATGCGCGAAACAAACAGAGGATTAAATTACATTTGTGTTGCGCGAATGCTCGAGTCGCGTTGTTATTTACGAAGATCCGCGATGATCTGTATAATAATGATCCTATTAAGTCCGATTAATAATTCGCCTTGTGCTCGCACACACATCGCGTATATTAATATCACGTCTTTTATGCTTGTGAAAATGTAAATATTATAATTCACGCAAACTGAATAGATGATACGTTATAGATCGCGGAGAACCACAGTGTTGCCACACGCTGAAAAAAAAAAAAACGCTCGAACGAACACGTGTCTCGATCATCAATGCGTGGTGTACGTTTATTAAATTCAATCGATACAGCACGCAAAACGGATTCCAGTCCGGATACTCTTCGAGAGAAAGAGAGAGAAACGGAGAGGAAGAGGGAGGGAGAGAAAGAGAGAGAGAGAGAGAGAGAGAGAGAAAGAAAGAAGAGAAAGCGCGTCATTAAAATCATAAGATATGCAAAATGACAAATTCTTCCTATTATTTTCAATTTTCAATATCTCTTTTAGATATAAAAACAAGTTTTGCACTTTGCATCTTTGAGAAGAGAGAGCGCGCGTGTGTGCGTATGTGTGTGTGTGTGAACGAAGACATTAAACATTCTATATTTCTTCAATTTGTTCGTATCGTCGTTCTATTTATATGGAGTGACATTATCAATAAAATGTCGCGCCTCGTAATTTTCCGTCAACGAAAACACCACGACAACCGAGTGGAGAACCTCGCGCAGACATGATTTCAAACAATTTGTCTTCTCTCTCGCGCTCGCGAATTCCCTCTCGCATCTGTCTTCGACAATGCGAGAAAAAGAATCACAGACTTAAAGTGTCAATGTGAAATTTATCTTTTCAGAAAATTTATAAATCTTCAGTCAGTTTGCAACACGAAATGTGTTTCCGGAAGAAACGCTTCGGTCGTGCAATAATTAAACGTCGTGTTCTTCCACACGACGATACATCGGTTGTGCGCAAGCAACATTCGAAACTTTGTCCTCACGCTTCGAATTTTGTCACAGAGGGGAGAAATTCCCGAGCTATATCTTAATGATCTTTGCGTCCAGTGCCGCGTACATTGATTTTAATGCCAAGCTGACTCGCCCACACATAAACACTATTATTATTTGCTTCCCCAACGGGAGGAATATGGTTGCCGCTGCTTATAAAAAAATTAAAAAAAAAAAAAAAAAATGAAACATTTAATGATATTGAGAGATACAATATATGCTCTTGTGCCAGACTCTGTCACCAAACCAAGTATCTTTTTTGTGACGTGTACACTTTGCGCGTGCCAAAATTGTGACATAACAAACGCAATATAGTGCGGCGAAACTAAAATAGATAATATTCTTTTTCATTCGTTAAAAGCCGAGAGAGAGAATCAGAAGGTTGGGACACGTGGTACAACAAGACTTCTTACCGGTAGCACCAGTGCCTGAGCGTCGAGGGGAAACAGCGGTTTGTCGGCCGTCGGTCTGGAAGCCCAGTAAGCCACCCCGGTGACGACGAGGGCACCGGCCGCGCCGCCCAAATACGGCAGGTAGTCATCGAATTGGGACTGTAACACTTCGTTTAAAATCGTTTGAACTGTTCGGGAGGGACTTATGTAATTCGTTGCCGCCGCAACGACACTACCTGCGGTAACAATGGCATCGTGATTGCCCGTCGTCTGCAGGTACTAAATGGTGCGCTGCTCTCGCGAGTCGACCGACGACTTTACTCTGACAATCGGCGGCGAGACGAATAACGAGCGGCGTACGACTCGAGCGCGAACTCGAGGCAGAGTGAACGATCGAACTTTGCCGCGGCCGATCCGAAGTCCGCATTCTATCGTATTCCCGACTTATCGTGAAATCCTTTATCACGCGAACTTCAATGACAGAGAGCTTGTCAGACTTGTAAAGACTATGCACACATTTGACTCGTAAACGCGCAAGCAGACTTACAATCGGTTGACTTTTTTTTTTTTGTCTTGTCGCGATAAGAAACAAGAGATAATGACAATCAGCCGACGACCGAGACAGAACGAGAAGGCGGACGAGGAACGAGCGTGCGAGATGCCGGCGTCACGCGGGCGCTCCTCGCGCTCCCGCACTCTCGCGGCATCGCTCGGAGAAGCCGATAACGTTTACTCACTGATAGATGCAGTAATTAAGCAGAGAAAGCACCGCGCTGCACGGTCCCTGGACGCGAGAAGAGAGAGAGAGAGACGCGCGCGCGCTGTCAGCTCAGGGAGTCCGTCCGGACGCACTAAGGGGGTACGACTGGTTTTTTTAGAAACCGGAGAGAATGGCGCCGGAGCGATCGGCACGGGACGGCCGTAGATGAGGCTTAGGTCAGGGCCACGACATGACAATGCCGTTTTTCCACGTCGTCTTCCACAACGAACAGACAGATCGAAACAGGTCCGCTCGTCGTTCCTCCGAACTCGATTGTACGCGATGCGGACCCTCACTGGCGTAAACGCGACGCCATGACGTCACCTCGCGCACCGCGGCGCGAATCGATGCCGGGCGGCCAGACGGGCGCTGCGACGACCACCCTTCCTCGTCTACCGTGGCGGCGACGATCACCCCAACCGTGCAGCAATCTCACCCTCCTCGACAAATTACGCAGCCCACGCGCACGCGTCATATCTTCTCGCGAGAGAAGAACCGTCCGGTGAAATATACAGAAATATACATTCTGCATTATCATATTAACAATTATTATTTCTCTATTGTTAACAAAAATGCAAAATTGCGCGCGATTGAGTATTAAAAAAAAAAAAAGAAAAAACGCAATAACAAAAATGCCAACTCTCTTGTTGCCGCTATCATAAAAGCGATCTATACCTCGGAAAATTAGAGATACCGACGAGTGTTGTTAACACAGCGCAGAGTACCGCAGCTGGCAAGTAAGATATGACGGAGTTGCTCCGTCGAGTGGTAGTCTGCGGTTGATAAGGAAATTCCAGACGGTAACTCGAACGTTTCCATTGGCGGCTATTTGGAGAGAATGATCCTTCAACCGGAGCGCGCTCACTTTCGAAGGACTCGATGGTCGCAGTACGAGGTAAAACGCGGCATCGATCGTTTCCTCTTTCAAAAAGCACGAAAATATTTTTTAAATATATATATTAGTTCTCTATTAGTGCCAAAAACTAAATAAACTAAACATGCGAGCCTCGAAGTATTGGCTGTTTGTGATCGCAGGAACATTTTTCGTTTCTTGTTTGTGGAAAACCGGATCGATTAGCCGCTGGAGCTCCAGCATGCGCGCGAAAGCGTTAATTCACTTCGATTTATCGATTCCGTCCTCGCCGCTATCGTCCTCGATTCCGCGCCGCGTTGGTCCCATCTTCGACAGGACCAGACTTTCGCGCGACGCCGCTCGTCGGAAACATCGAGGAACTCTGTCGAAGTACATGCTGCAGCTCTACCATCGACGACCGGACGCCGATGTCGTCCGGGCGATTCAACCGATTCACATTTCCGGTCCTATTTGCGACGGCGGAAGAATTCTGGAATTCGCAATTCCGTCCGTCGACGCCGACGAAACCTTGGAGGCTGCGGAATTACTGGGAATCGCCGGAGCGATCGTTAGAGTGCGATCGCTGACCGATTTGTCGATTAAAAAAAACAAGAGCCGTGAGATCCTGAGATCGAGGAAAGACGACGCCTGGCGCGCCTTCGACGTCACGTCCGTCGTCGCTGGCCGAGATGGCGACATTATCAAGCTGTACGTTCACGGCAGACTGGCCTATCGTCCTTACGGCGACAGTCCGATTCTGCTGTTGAACTACAGCAAGACCAGACGTCGTCGTCGACGATCGGCGGACGATCAGGACGATCACGAACGTTGGGAGGATACGCCGTCACGAAGACGACGTCGCAACAGCTGTCGCCGACGTCCGATGTACGTGGACTTCGCCCTGATCGCTTACGACAACTGGGTGGTCGCGCCGCCAGGATACGAGGCTTATCAGTGCTCCGGCAAGTGTTACTTCCCGTTCGGCGATCATCTCAGTCCTACCAAGCACGCGATAGTGCAGACATTGGTGCACGGCGCGCTTCAGGCCAGCGAGGACCCCGGCATCAACAAGGCCGTAGGCAGAGCATGTTGCGTTCCCACCAGATTGGCGCCCACGAGTCTGCTTTATCTGGATTCCAGCGGAACGCTGACCTACGAGTACGGTTACGACGACATGGTCGTCTCCGAGTGCGGTTGCCGTTGATAAACAACGGTGGTGATTTTTTTTTTTTTTTTTTTTGTTTTTTGATTGCTTTTATTAACAGAACGGCTCGTATCTACACGTACATCGTGGCGTGAAAACTTTCTCAGCAAAGTTTGTAATGCACATACAGTTGAGTCTCGATGTAGCAGATATTGAAAACAAACACAAATAAGATAAAAACATTTTTGTTATCGATTTAAATCTCCGAATAAAAATTACTAATAATCTTTGCGAGTATACAGGGTGTTTCAGAACTATGGGATCAAACTTCTAGGGGTTATTCAGTGCAACAGTAGAAAACATTTGAGTATAGGGACCCATGTCCGGAAAAGTGTCACTACCGCACTACGGC